GATCATCATCCTAGATATGTTCTATATGTGATTCAATAAAATTTGAGGATATAGAATCATAATTGATTATGTTATATAATTTTGTTTTGATTGAGTCATCTAAGTGTAATGATTCTATTTTCTTTTTTAATTTGCATTGGTGTTTATAATGACACTTTTCCACATTTATAACATACTGGAAGTCTCTTTTTATTTTTTGTATTTGGAGAAAATTTGTTTATAAACTTTTGTTTAGACTTTTTATATTGTTTATGTACTTTATTGGATTTGAATTTATATTTGTCTTTTTTGTATTTTTTCTTTTTATATAACTTTTCAGGATTATTTTTTCTATCTATATGGTATCCAAATTGTTCACAGAAATCACTAAGTTCTTTTCGTTTAGTAATTTGTTGTTTATCTAACTGTCTTTTGAGTTTAAGATCAGTACATATAGCTAATCCTTCAGCACATATTTTTTCTGATATAGATATAGATATTAATAGGAAAAGAAATAAAAAACCATTAATACCTGCTAAAAAATCTTGTCATACTACTCCTGATGTCATCATACTTCCTTCTGCTTCACAACCTACACCATCTTCAAACTTCCAATTACAAGGAGTCAATAGAACAGCTGATCATGTAGTCATTCCTATCTATACATCTGAACCAAACATAGAGGCATTTCAAATACTTACATTACAAATAAAAGATGATACAGAAGAAGAAATAAATAATAATAATATATATGATACATATGTAGCTGATAAATTAGCAAGAAAAAAGAAGAAAATTAATATTGATTATCTTAAAAAAGATTATCTTTCTCTAGAAAATCAAGGTATTAGGGAATGGTATCTGCAAACCTTCCAACCTAGGTTAATAGAATTATTTCATATAAAATACAATAAATTTCTTAAAAAAGAAAGAGAAACAAAATGATTTTTTATATGGTTACAAGAAATGTTCATTCAACATAAAATAAACATTCCTCCATTTGATAATCTTCAAACCTTAGAAGAAAAAACATACATTAGTACGGATGGTACTACTACTGCTATTACACACCCTCCTGAAAAAAGTATAATACTCAAAGGAGTAACCCCATCAAGTAAAGGAGAACCACCACAATCTCTATATGATATAATTGCCACACCATATAAAGTCCTACCTAAAGAAATAAGTAAAAAACAAGAACTTATTCCCCATATTGTGGAACAAAACAATTATACTAATTTATATATGCAATCTTTAGGAAAACAAGCAGAACGTATAGAAAGATTAGTTTCTAAAGAAGTAACTCATTCTCTTCCTAAAGCAGTTCTGTTCAAATCACCTCCAGAACTTAATAAAAATAAATTTCATATTGGTGAAAATAATAAAACCTTAATGGATCAGTTAATAGCCAAATTAGCTCAATTAGATATTAAATGAATTCCTTCTCCCAAACTCAGTATTTCTATACCAAATATACCTGTTCCATTACCAGAATCTTCAGATAAAAGAAAGTCCAAAATACCAGAGCATGAAACAATGATGCTCCAAGAAGTGGAACCAATTATAGAAGACATCATACAAAACCAAGAAAATGCTTTTATAAATACTACACCTACTTATATAAACAGAATAGTCTATGGTAAAACATGAAAACCAATCACAGCTTTACCATATTATAAAAGACCTATACCTGTTGATGTCCAGCTTGAAGAAGATGTCATACAACAAGTTGTTTCCTATTCAAGAAGATTAATAGTTAATTGGACAATAGACGGTCTATCTGAATTAAAAATATTAGATGTTATGAGACATATGAAAATGTTTGCTTCTGCAAACAAGATGGCAGGAAATCCCAACCAAGAAGTTGCTAAAGCAATAGTTAATGGATTCACTGGCTGGCTAAGAGGATGGTGGGATTTCTATGTAGATGATGAAACTAAAAATAGAATCCTTACCAACACAAGACAATGGACCGCCAGAAATGAACAAAATCAAGAAATAATTTATACTGAAAGTGATGCAGTAAACACCTTAATATATACTATCACATTACATTTTGTAGGAAGTACAACCTTATTAGCAGCAAGATCAGAAGATCTGCTATCCAATCTTCGTTGTCCTACATTATCTCATTATAAATGGTATAAGGATGTCTTTTTCTCAAGACTATTAATAAGAGAAGATTGTCAATTAGACCATTGGAAAGAAAAATTTATTGCTGGTCTACCCTATTTATTTGCAGAAAAAGTCAAAGACAGACTTAGAAAGAAACGTAATGGAATTATAGTATACTCAGCATATACACTTGGAGAACTTTCAGCAGAAATATGTGCTGAAAGATTAGCTTTATGTACTGATCTTAAACTCAAAAGACAGTTAAATAAACAACAAATTACTAAACGAAAAGAACTTGATGATTTCTATAAACAATTTGGATACCATATAGATAGAAAAAATAACCCTGAAAAGTTATATAAAAAGAAAAAATACAAAAAAGACAAATATAATCCAAATCCAATAAAGTACATAAACAATATAAAAAGTCTAAACAAAAGTTTATAAACAAATTCTCTCCAAATACAAAAAATAAAAAGAAACTTCCAGTACATTATAAATGTGGAAAAGTTGGTCATTATAAACACCAATGCAAATTAAAAAAGAAAATAGAATCATTACACTTAGATGACTAGATCAAAACAAAATTATATAACATAATCAATTATGATTCTATATCCTCAGATTCTACTGAATCACATATAGAACATATCCAGGATGATGACCTATTATGGACCGAATCATCTGATTACTCAGATCCTTCTACAGAATAAAAAACATACATTAGTACGGATGGTACTACTACTGCTAGTACACACCCTCCTAAAAAAAGTATAATACTCAAAGGAGTAACCCCATCAAGTAAAGGAGAACCACCACAATCTCTATATGATATAATTGCCACACCATATAAAGTCATACCTAAAGAAATAAGTAAAAAACAAGAACTTATTCCCCATATTGTAGAACAAAACAATTATACTAATTTATATATACAATCTTTAGGAAAACAATATATATATATAAGAGTGCTCCTACTTTAGAACATTTTATAATTGTACTAAACAAATTTTGGATATTTATATACCTTTATTTTGTAATCCAATATTTTTTTAGGAAGGGTTATTTTGGCCATTCGGAAGCGTGTGACATTATCTACATGGGGTGTGATGTCACCAACATGAAGCACATTAGTGACATTTAATATTTCATGTGAGGATATCATACCCCATGTGAATGATGTCACATTCCTTCTTAATTATCAAAGATATCCATACTAAAAATAATTCGTAATAGACAAAAAGTACTTTTAAAACTTTTAAGGGTATTTTAATCAATTTATTTATTTTATTAAAATTAATAGAAATTTAAAATTTCACGTGATTTAAATTTATAAAAAATATCAAAATAATATTACGAAATGAGGTCATGACCTAGATTCAATCTGACCTGTGTTATAAGGGTGCTCCTACTATAAAACATTAATTGCACTCAACAAATTTTAGATATTTATATACATTTGTTTTGTAATACATATGTTTTTAGTAAGGGTTATTTTAGTCATTCGTTCTTTATGGGTGTGATATCACCAACTTGGAGCACACCAGTGTCATTTAATGCTCCATATAGGGGATATCACACTCTATGTGGATGACGTCACACCCTCTCCTAATGACTAAAGATGTCATTACTAAAAATATTTCATACAAAATAAATAGATCAAAATACCTCTAAAACTTATAGAGGTATTTTAATCAATTTATTTTTTATTAATTATTTTTTAATATTTTTATTAAGTGCACATTGATGAGAAGAAATAGATATTTAAAATTTCATTTGATTTAGATTTATAAAAATTATTAAAATAGTATTACGAAATGAGGTCGTGACCCAAATTCAATCTTTTCCTATATAGGGCGCTCATACTATAGAGTAATTTATTATTGTACTCAACAAATTTAAAACACAACAAAATGTGGACACTTATATACCCTTGTTTCTTACCTTAAGTTTTTTTTAATAAGGGTATTTTTGGTTATTAAGAGGGATATGACATCATCTACATAGGATGTAACATCATCTATTGAAGTAAGGTACACCTCAAAACTATGCCAAAAATGCAGTTTCGATACTGCAAAGCCTTTGAGTTGTTATGGAAATATATTGCTGGCTTTCAATTATGAAATTTAAAGTTTCAAGAATAGTGATGATCAAGCAGATATATAAACACTTGAAAATCTTGAAAATGGATAGTACAAATAATGTGTTAGAAGATAAACTATTTTTAGGATTAGAATTACCCTTTTTTCTTATTTATAAATCTCGAGGTTGAGATGACCGATTGATTTCAAGGTTTTTCAGTATAAGAACAACTTTTTTTAGTCGATTTTTTAAGTGCACCTTACTTGTACACTATAAGGCTGACACCTTAAATAAACTTTTTCCTTTTCAATTTTAATGATGGAAAATGGTTCGACAGGGATGCAATTTTATCTTTATAAATAAAGCCTCACCTCACAACTCATCAAAAGTTGTAATTCAAGCGCATAAAAAACCTTTAAATCAACCATCTTGGCTTGGTTTGAACATTATGGTTATAAAAAAAAAAAAAATTCAAGCTCTAAAAGAAGTGTAACAAATTATTTATATCATCCATTTCGTCCAGAAAATAAATATTTACAGATGTGTAAAATTTGTATCATTTTTTTAGTTTCAAATTTCACTGTGTTTTTAAAGCCATCTTCGATACTTATGTATTGAAAAGTACTTTTCCGACGAGATTTTGAGGTGAAGTTTTATTTTGTTTTCATAAAATCCAATAAACAAAGTCCTTCCATCTTTTACCCAAATCACCAAAAAGTCTTCCGAATCTTTGTTCAAAATGACATAGAAATCCGCCCAAATCTTTACATAAAATGACATTTGAATCCCTTACCAATTTCTTGCCTTGAAAATGAACAAGGGCGTCAACAACCCTAGAATTCCTAAACCCTACTTCGACTTTACCATCCCCTTTGCTTCTGCTTCCCTCGCCGGAAACATTCAAGTTTTTTTTTTCCGGCCACTTTCGGGTGATGTTTCCGGCCGTCTCGTCTGCTCTGGCTTTCATGGAGGCGTGTAAATTTTGTTCTCAAGATCTGTTGAGAAGGTTGTCCTAGTATTCTTGGAAATTAGGGTTTCAGTTGCAGGTTTTGATGTGGGATACATCGTAGTTTTCTGGTGAGTTTCTGAGCTTCAAATCCTAGAAATCAGCTGTACGTTTTGGTTTCTCAGGTTGATGTTATGTGGAGAAATTTTGGTTGCTATATTTTTCATGGAACTTTCTTGACCTTGTGTCCATTATGTTAATTGCTGATATTAACTAAAATTTTATGCTTTCTTGGATGATTTTATGGAATGAAAGAAATGATTGATCTGGTTGGGTTTTTTGGTAGTTTCTACGATCTGATAAATGAGAGAGAAATTATGTAAGGTGATTATTTGTCATGAATGGTTGGAAATTTATTCGAATTAACTGCAATTTTCTTTACTTTCGAAGTTTTTAGGGTATTGTTGGCTTTACCCGAATGCAAAAGTTTTGCCGTCTTATTTCTTCCATAAGAACAGTTATCCTCAGAAATTCAATTCCTAATAGGTAAATTTCTCTTCTGCAAGTGAATGAAAAACAGTTCCAAAAAATAAAATGAAAACGATTGGAAAGATCAGGTCCTTATGATTTGTTTGAAATAATTCCTTTATTCTCACTCCTGACAAGGAAAAGCTAGAGCTCCTCGAGCATGCAAACCTTTTATTGAAGAACTTAGGGGTATTCTTATAATTTGGGTGTTTTTTATATTCATTGGTGAATTTTTCTCGGTTTTATTGGGAGAACATGATAGAGAGATATACCTTGAAACAGTTACTGAAGATGAAGGAGAGGCATCTTTGAGGGGGGTAAGATAGGAATTAGAAAATGATGCCATTTTTATTATGAATCACTTCAGAAGTATCATGCTCTTCCTGTTTTAGGGAGCAGGAATCCTATTCAAATATGAATTTATGAAAGTTGATTCTCAAAAGAAAATGATGATTGAAACTTTAATACTCTCAAACCTACTTTTTATTTGTTGTAATCTTTTATGGGCTTCTCATCAAATAACCTATAACAGATTGTGATTATTAACACTCTACCCATCTGATTTCTGAATATAAAAAAGCATCTGATTTCTGAATGCAAAAACGCATTCATCTGTGTTCATGTTAGAACTGGTCAGAGGGGGACATATTCCAATTTTTCTACTCTCTGAGAAAACCTCTGGTCTTTTAAAAACAACATTGTTTTCAAGATATTGGTATATGGAATACCTGCATCTTGCTTTAAAAAGGATATCTATATCACAAAAGGAAACACCAATATACCACCAATATTATGGGTTGTGGAATTTAATGGAATGGTAAATTGTTGGCATTTCAAGCCGTGTTTGCTAGCGCTTGACAATAGGTTCCCCTGCATTAAGTGCCTAACATGATGGTCACTGTGCTCTACTTTGGAAACTAAAACATTCAATTGCGACGTATGGTTTATCCTAAGGGCTGTTTCCATCTGCATTATATTGATGCGGTATGGAATGGCATTGTACAGGGGGCCTTTTCGTTTTAGTTGGTGTTGGCAAACACTTGCCTTGCCAACGTCTCCCTGTTGACTGCAGTGAAACTCTTAGTTCTATTGCGTTTTAATCATTATGAGAAGGACTCCAACCCAGCCTTAAATACCAATATTGACATGAATATTTGTTCAAAGAAAAATATTGACAATATTTTGTTAGAAAGGAAAAAAAATTCTGATGGAGGCCCTTTTAACAAGTCCTGACATGGATACATGGATGATGCTTTTCTTTAGGATGAGTGTGGTGTTAAAATCAAAATCTTATATGGGTTATTTGATGAAAATGTCCAGTTCTTATTTTGTGGGTATTCTTGTACTGAACGTCTATGCTTCTTGGAACCCTTTGCATGCAGAAGTCGTAATTGCTATGACAAGGTTGTATTAATCTTTTCCCGTTAATGAAGTTTAAGATATGCCAAAAGATTTTATGCTTCGAGGAGTATACTGTCTATTTACTCCCTCAGGCAAAAACCCAATCTAGAAGTAATTTTAGGACCCCAATATTTTGGGATGTAACCTCTTCAATCCATATGTTATACTCAATAAAAAAAAATTGAAATTGCATTGTCTATGGACTTGAAAGAAATAATGCCTCAAGATTGAATAGAAACCGTCCAATTTTAAAGGACGACATCCTCTTCAATCCGTAGGTTATACTCAATAAAAAAAATCGAAATTGCATTGTCTATGGACTTGAAAGAAATAATTCCTCAAGATTGAAATGAAACCGTCCAATTTTAAAGGATGACATCTAAGTCCTAGAAAACTCGCTTTCAACAAAAAGTGTTAGAAAACTCAAAAATTTTCTTTTTTTTTTGTTTTGAATAAAATCATCTAGTGTGTCCCATTTTTTCGGAACAAAAGTTATACCCAAATTTTCAGGACAGAAGTATATGTAATGTGGAAAATGATGAAATTTTTTTGTTGTGAACAGAGCACCCAACTTGTGGGATGCCATCCGTAGTTTAAGCTTTCTGTAAATACTCCACCATATATAGAAAAGTTAACATTTCTCAAAAAACAAAATGATAAAAATTGATGTTACTGACTTGTACTCTCCAAAGTAATTTGATAATCCAATGTGAAGCTGAAATTCAGTCATTTGTATGAAATTAATTGAAAAAAAAAAGAAAATTACCTAAAATCTTAAAGCTGATTCACCAATATTTGCTCTTGGTGTGAAGTAATGCCTCCAATCTTTGTCAAGGCTCCTCAAGTACTCCAAATCAGAGCTCTTGAAAGTTTTGGGTAAATCATATTTTGATTTCCAAATTCAAAATCTTGCAGTAACTGAGATTTTGAGTGTTTTTTTGTGAGAAATAAGGCTATGATTCGATAAACGACACGAAAATTGGCTTAGGTAACAAATTACAACCAAGATCGAGCAATGGTCATTAAGAAATGACAAGTTTTCAAACTTCAGCAACCCTTCGTTAAAAAATTTATGTGCCTCAATCCATAAAAGTTGTATTTGTTTTCACCTTTTTTCCTTAAATCTGATCTTTAAATGGATAGAACATGCAAAAACACGAAATTTGGGCTCAATCTGATCAAAGGTTGAAGAGAAATGTGGAAATGGGGGATCTGTTTTTAGCACCCCTTTTAAAGTGGACAATGTGTCTCGGCGAGTTCTGGCAGACTCGGAGACCTTGCTGACTCTCCAAGTTACTAGATTGACTCAGGTGAGTAAGTGAATGGTACTTCCTATACCTAAGTCGGTGGTGTTCCAGGCTCGGCGGTGTGATGAGCCCCAGTGTCTCAGGCGTGTCCGAATGGGCTTGCCAAGTTTTCCAACGCTGATATTATTAATTACTGTAGTTATTATTATTTCTGAGAATAATATCATAATTAAATGTTTGCTATAATAACTAGTTCTATTAATAGACTAATTAATATTGTTTGCTAAAATTCTTTAGAATCTTTTGCGGAGAACTCTCATAGACTTATCAAGGGAAAAAGAAAAACCTCAACAGAATTCTACTTTTGCTTCTTGAAAAGCCTTAGACAGAATTCTTGAAAAGCCTTATACAGAACAAGGATAGTTTTATCATTATTACATGTAATTGAGGTTATTTGCCAGTAAAAATGGTACGCCCCCAAAGTCGCTCTTAACATAGTATAGAAGCATAGATGTGCACATGCACACATGCATAATTTTGCACTTGCAAACCCGTGTCACTTGTTTTGGAATAGAGCCTTCTTTGTTTTGTTTACTCGAGAAATTCAACAGTTTCAACGTCTATCATTATAGAAAGATTCTATTTAAAGAGTTTTTTTCCTACCGTACTTTTACTTTCTAATTCCTTGTTTCTATGCTTGTAGAGTTCAATGGTTCTTAGAATTAAACATTCACCCATTTGTCTCATAGATGGTATACTTTTGTGCAGTATTTTGTGCTGATTACCATCCAAAGCAGGACGGCAATTGTATTTAGATTCCTTCAGATTAGACAAAGCATTTCTCTGGCCAAGTATGTGGTTCCCAGGTTTTCTCTTCAAGAAAAACCTGTATAGTTTATTTAAAATTTTACCAGTTCACTTTAAGTTTTTTGATTCCCAAACTCCTTTCCTTTTAGCTTGGAAAACGAATCTATGTCTTTAAGCAAAAGAAGAGAACCATCTATTTTTACCACCTGCATCAAAGAGAACCTCAGTATAACTTCAAAGCAAAACGAGTGAGGCATCCCAACGCTTCCCCATGAGTTTCATGCAGCACCGGATCTTAGCTGTTGGCCAACAGTTCCCCGATGCTAAGAGTTGTCGGAGAGCGATCAAAGAGGCTGCCATCGCTGAAGGCTTCGATTTCCGATCGGTTAAAAATGATAGGGTCCGCTTCACTGCTAGGTGTGCCAAAGAAGGTTGCCCATGGCGCTTGCACGCTGCAAAACTCCCTGATAGCACGATCTTCACAATAAAGAGCATCAGAGAGGCACATACTTGTGGGGGAACGATCACAACCAATCGACAAGTTTCGGGAGAGTGGGTTGCAAGCTACATAGAGGAACGGCTGAAAGAGAACCCGCATTGCAAGCCAAAGGAAATCTTGCAAGACATTCAAAAGCAGCATGGGTTCACTATATCATACAAGAAAGCATGGAGAGGGTACCAACGCTGCATGACAGCGATTTATGGGTCTTTTGAAGATGGGTACCGTCTCTTACCAGCTTACTGTGAGCAAATCAAGCTCACAAACCCTGATAGCATTGCTCGTGTTGTTAGTACTGGGGCTGAGCACCGATTTAGACGCCTCTTCCTTTCTTACCAAGCATCAATCTATGGCTTTGTGAATGGATGCCGACCTCTTCTTGGGCTCGATGTGGTCCACCTTCATGGCAAATATCTTGGTAGCCTACTCTCAGCTACTGCCTTTGATGCTGATGGTGCCATTTTCCCATTGGCTTTTGGGGTGGTTGATGTGGAAACTGAAGAGAACTGGATGTGGTTCCTCTCTGAGCTTCATAAGCTTATTGAAATGAATGCTAGAAAGATGCCTATGCTTACAATCTTGTTTGAGAGACGAAAGGGGGTTGTAGAAGGGGTTCAAAAGAAGTTCCCCAGTGCTTTCCATGGCTATTGTATTCGTCATTTGTGTGAAGAGTTTCGCCTCAAATTCAAGAACCCTAGGCTTGTACACCTCCTTTGGAAGTCAGCCCACACTCTCTCCACCATAGAATTCAAGGCCAAGATGGCTGAGATGCAAGAGCTCTCGAGTGAAGCTTATGAATGGATCCAAGAGATTCCTGCTCGCCATTGGGCTGAGATCTACTTCGAGGGCGCCCGCTATGGCCGCCTCACCTCGAATGTGGTTGAGATGAATGAATGGATCCATGAAGCTAGAGAGCTGCCCATCATCCAAATGATGGAGTGGATCCACCGAAAACTAATGGCAGAATTCGAAGAAAGGAGACAGAAAGGAGCACAGTGGACCACAGTGCTTGCCCCCTCAGCCGAGAAGCAAATGGCTGAGTCCCATCTGTTGGCCCAAAACTATCGAGTTATCCGATCAAGTGAGGTGGAATTTGAGATACTTTTCGCTGAGCAAACAAACATAGTGAATATAGACACAGTTTCATGCTCGTGTCGAGCTTGGCAATTGTATGGGTTGCCTTGTTCTCATGCCACAGCGTCTCTTGTGTCTTGTAACAAATCAGTGTATCAGTTCACTGATAAATGTTTTACTGTGGCGAATTACAGGGATACATATTCCCAAGCTGTAAATCCTCTGCCTGATAAGGGGGAGTGGGAAAAGTTGGCAGAAGGGGGGGAAGATGGGAACAGCAAGGCCTCAATAAGTGTGAGGCCGCCTAAGGTGAGGAGACCACCAGGTAGGCCAAAGATGAAGCAAGTGTGTACTGAGGATCTCTATAGGCAAAAGCATACTGTTCATTGTAGGCGATGCAACCAAACGGGTCATTACAAGACAACTTGCAGGGCTGTGAAAGCCTTACCTGACCCTAACGGACCAGTGATGGCCTTACCGGATACAAACATGCCTGCAGCTCAACCTCAACAAGCTTTGTAGCCTTTTCATCGATTTGAATGTTTGTATTTGCCATTTCTCTCTCTCTCTCTCTCTCTCGTGGGTTTAGAATGTTGGGATTTAGGGTACACTTACCTTGCTGTGAAGAAATGGTGATAGCGGGTTTAGGGGAAGGAAGATGGAGAGGTGTTACTTCTGTCTTTTGGTAAATTTGGAGTGGATCTTAGCAGCAGTTGTAGGCCTTGTATGTTCATTTCTTCTTTCTTATTGATCATAATGTTAATTTAGGCCTTTGTTTATGGGAGATCAATGGTACGTGTGATGCGACTGGGACCGATGATCCATACACGTGCGTTATGTGTGTGTGAGAGAGAGCTACTGCATATGTGTGGCGGAGGGTGTGTACTTGTATGAGTGCGTTGTGTGTGTGTGAGAGAGAGAGAGCTACTGCGTATGTGTGAGAGGGAGGGTGCGTACTTAGTATGAGAGATTAGCGGCTCTCTGAACTCTTGGTTGTGTTATGTATTGGTATTTTTTGTCTCAAATATTTTGACACATATTCAGAATTCACATATAAACATTTAAAGTGATTGTGATGACTTTGTATCAAAATTAATCATAATATACAATTTTTTTTGCATGGGAGATCTTGGCTATATTTTTTTTTCTTGAAATAAGAAAAGGAAAGAGTAAATTTAAAACATAATTTTTTAAAAAATAATAATAATAAAAATAAAAATCTAAAACGGCAACTTGGTAAATTTATCTTGTAAGATGGGTTTTAGCGCTCAATTCGAGTTTTATTTTCGGAAAAACATTTATCAGATAATTATTAGGTTTACATGGAGCTATTTTTGCATGCATGATTATGGCACTCTTTATTTTGGTTAGTCAGTCGACTTATCTATTTATATGACTCTAATCCACGGGGAATACGAATAAAAAATATTTAATTATTAAAAATAAAATAATAATTTTTATTGTATTTTTTTTGGACCGTTGATTAGAGATTTAGGTGAGACCGCCTTATAACATCCATCTTCTTTAAGTTGGATTGTGTCAACTACAACTTTTTATAGGGTTTTGTTAAGTTGTACAACACCTTTAAAGTACTCAACATTTTTTAACATTTAGAATATCTTTATTTTATAGTATAGTAATTTTTTGTTTAGAGGCATTTTAAGTAATTAATCAAAAATAAATTAAAATTTTTTAATAGAAACAAAATTATTTATTAACAATATTGGATTATGACATCACCGATATGGTATGTGACATCACTCATAAGATGTATTAATTGTTTTTAACTATTAATAGAATGCCACTATTTATTTATACAAATATCTATTCTACATTTCTAAATGATAAAAAATACCTTTATTTGAAAATTTTTGTATTACAATACAAGAATATTTTAGTGTAAAAAATTGTTGAGCACTTTAAGGGTCTACCTAGCAAAACCCCTTTCTATACATGGTTATTTTAAAATGCATCACACTAAATGAATTTAAAATTTACTATACTAAAACTTTTGATTATAAAATCCCCTTGTATTAAAACATTAATGACTTCTTGCTATGAATAGTTTATGTATTTTAGAAAGACTCTCTTTTGTCTTTTTAAAAGGGAAAGGTTTGCATGCTTCTTCTACGACAAAGAAGTTCTATCCTCTTTTTACCATCCAGCCATTCAATTTTGATCAAGAGAGCCACTCACCGCTTGATCTTAGATCCGACGTCTCAAAGTATTTTATTTTTAGTTTTTTTAATACAAATTGTATGAATATGAAATTTCGTACGTGTCATCTTCTCATTGGGGCTCACCTATAAAAAATATTTAAAATAATTTTTCGATAAAATATAATGACCAAAATACCCCTTGAACCTTTCACGAATATTTTGGTTATTTTATTTTATTGAAAATATATTTTTTATATTTTTCGCTAGTACGAGTTTAATAGAGGGTGGTTTCTGAGGGTGGCTGCTAGGAAGGCCACTTTGACTGATGCGATGACATGTTGCAAGGTGAGATTTTTGTTTTAAGTGATGATATTGAGGATGATGATGATTATGCTCTTATTCAACCATCTGCCGACCAAGTAGAGGTTTGCCTGAGCTGAATGCTCAACCTCTATTTTTCCATGAAGGTGATTAGCTGGAATGTTCGTGGACTAGGTGAAGTTAAAAGGAAGCATGGGGTTAGATTTTTTATTCATAAATATAAACCTAAAATTGTTATGCTTTAGGAAACCAAATTACCTAGTCCAACATGTAGAAATAATAGAGAATTATGGGGTATGAGGCTTGTAATGTTGTGTGGTATTAATTCAGTTGGGGATTCTGTGGGATTATGGATGATTTGTGATCCTACTGCTCTAGATTATGTTGATGTTATTAGATAAGAGCGATTCTTGGGGGTTATTTTTTAAGGTCCTTTCTCAAATGATCAATGGATGTTTGTTAATGTCTGTGGCCCTAATTTGATTTCTCTTAAACCTTCTTTTCTGGATGATTTAAGTAGTTGTGTACCTATGTCGGTGGGAATTTCAATTTATTTGTCGATTAGATGAAACTACTTCCTAACATTGGCTCTAATTCATATCTTGCCTCTAATTCATGCATGCGAATGTTCAATGATTACATTATAAGAAATGGGTTGATAGATCTGCATGTGAATGGAGTTCATTATACCCTAATAATAACATTGCCAATTTGGTGATGACTAAATTAGATAGTTTGTGGTGTTTGTTGATTGGGAGAGGGAGTTCCCCTTGGCTGGTGTGACTTCTCTTCCTAGGCTTTCTTCGGATCATATATGTCTACAAATTTTGAAAGAGATAAAGAGGGCTCATACCCTTAGAATAGGGAATGCGTGGCTGCTAGAACCTGAGGCGAGGGAGCTGATAAAAGACCCTTGGTTAAATACAGTAGTGTGTGGATTGTGTGGTTTTAGAATACACAAGAATACAAATTGATTCATTGGAGAAAAATCACAGATTTTATGTCAAAGCAAAAATTGATTCCACTCTTCTTAGCATTAACCAGGTGGAAGAGGAGATTCAGGAAAATGGACCAGTTTCAGAAGCACTTATGGCTCAAAGATCTCAAATGAATAAATTGCTTTGACTTACTTCAACATGAGGAGATTTCTTGGCACCATAGATCTAGAGTAAAGTGGCTAAAAGAAAGAGACCTTAATACCAGGGTTTTCCATGTTATTGTCAATGCTAGAAGGCAGTAAAATGATCTATCCTGTATTTCTTTTGATGATGTTTTAGAGGAAGATGTTACAAGTTGGAAGGATGAATTCATCAATGAAAATGCCTTTTCTAGTGAACATAAGTTGGGAGTGAGGTTGACTGGTGTGCTTTTAGATGCTTGAAGATAAGGCCCCAGGTCTAGATGGCTTACCAATGACATTCGTCTATATGTTTTGAGAAATTGTTAAGGATGATGTGTTTGATAAGGTAAAAGAATTTCTTGAGAGGGGTGATTGATACAAGCATAAATTCTATGTTTATTATTCTATTCATGTGACTCTATTAAAGGAAACAATGATATCAGACCAATCAGTTTGCTAACAAGCCTTTATAAAATCATTACCAAAATTCTTGCTCTCCGACTCAAGGGAGTGCTATCTGAGGTTGTCTTTGGGCCTCAATCAATATTCATCAAAGGAAGAATCATCACATATATCATTCTGATCGCATAAGAATATTTACATTCTCGAGCTATGAGTGGGGTGCCTAGGGTCTTGATGAAGTTGGACATAGAGAAAGCATGTGAGCTTATTTTGGATGAGATTAGGGCTTGTATGGGCTTTGGGGCTATTTGGAAAAAATGGATTATGGGTTGCTTGTCATCCACTCATTTTTCCATTATTCTTAAGGGCTGTCCCAAATGCTTCTTTAAGGCGTCTAGGGGTTTGAGGCAAGGGGATCCCCTTTCACCTTTCCTTGTTAACCTTAGTGGCAAAGGGCTTTAGCCTAATGCTTAGGAATGTGGAGAGAAGAGGAAGATTTCAAGGGTTCAAGGTGGCTAAGGATAGTCCATATATATCTCATCTGCAATATGCAGATGATACATTGATCTTTTGTGATGCTATCATTCAACAAGTTAATGCCATATCAATCTTTCTGAGGTGTTGTTATGTTATATTGGGGCTAAATTTTCTTTTTGAAAACATATGGTAGGTGTGGGATGCAATTCAAACCCTGTTGAAGATTTGGCACTAAGGTTGGGGTCTGTGATGGATAATTTTCCTATCAAATATTTTGGTATTGCGATCTCCGATAGTATGCTATGAAGGTCAATTTGGGATCCAGTAATATTCTTATCTCCATGAGGATGGGCAATACTAATCCAGTCTTTTTTGGCTAATATGCCAATTTACATAATCTCTCTTTTACAAAGGCCTACTCCTGTGGTTAAGAAATAGAAAGACACACGAGGAATTTTCTTTGGGGCACGTTGGATGGAGAAAAGAATTTTCATCTCATTAGTTGGGAGAAAGTATGCACTTCAAAGATGGAAAGGGGTTTGGGTATTAGGAGGCTGAAATTGGTAAATCAAACATTGTTGGCTAAATGGTAGTAGAGATCTTTAATAGGAGGGGAGCAGGTATGGAAGGAGGTGCTCATTTCTAAATATGGTTTGGATAATTCAGGTTTATTGAAAGGGGTAGAGAGTACGACGTTTACAATCACACAAATCTGGAAAGAGATGTTTGGTTCAAAAGATTTATTGGGGCAAGATAGACCCCTAAAAGTACAATATAAGGAGCTTTTTGACAAGGCTAGCAATCAGAATTTGAAATTTGAGGAGGCTTATACTCTTAACATCTGTCTCTGGTTAACTGGAGTGCGGCACTCAGTTATAATAGAATTTCAAATTCTCATGTTACTCAGTTAATTAATCTTATGAATGATTTGGAGGCAATATATATTTCGGCAAATGAACAAGATGAAGGCATTTGGAAATGTGCGTCTGATGGAAGTTTTAATGTTAAATTTGCTTAACATTTATTGTTCCATGAGCACTACAAGTGCCTACAGGCAGGAAGGAATCACTTACTTACTTACCGACAAGAGGGAGGGAAGGCTGGAAAAGATTGATTTTCAATCAAGCCTGACGGCAAAGCCTGTTCGGAAGGACCGCTCGCTTGCTTACGGCCTTACTGCCCGCCTGCCACGCTTAAATTGCATATCGAAATGGGGCATCCCACACAAGGTGCAAATGTTCATTTGGATTTTATCTCAAGACAAGGCCTTAACAGTGGACAATCTACGAAAGAGGGGAAGGTTGATTGTTA